AAAATACAGTTATGTTTTCATTCCCTATGCCCCTAAACACCCTCCCTGCAGCTATGCATCAAGCAATTCGTGGAAAGAGGCTTCTTTACGTAAACCCTGTTTTGGGTGTTTTGATTTACTTTTGGGTATAGAGTTGATCTGTCCCTCTTCCCATTGGTGTCCCTCCCTGCTCCAGTCCTCTTCTTCCTTCTTTTCTTCTCTTCTCTTCTGCTCTCTGAACTGCATCCCCCCTCCTTCTGATTTCTCCCTCCTGAAAGGAAGAAGGAGATGGGCCACACGAAATAGCAGAGCAGTGCCTACCCCACTCTTTGAAGTTCTCTGCATCTGAACCTCTCTCTCTTTTGAAAGCTCCGCTGAGAAATGATCAGACAGTGAAGTCCGACCCATGCACACAAAGTCGTTGTTGTCCCATTTTAAGCCAACTCCCGTGCATGTATGGCTAGGAGCATTGAGAGCAGAGTCTGAGTGAGGACATTGAGGCTGGTGGTGAAAAGCCTTGGTGAGAAGTTGGGACATGTTTGGACATGCAAGGCCTTAGAGAGAAGTCCTGTTCACTGTCCAGTCCTTCTGATTCTCTTTTGCTGGCTTGTGCTCCTCAACCCAACTTCTAAATGTCAGAGTATCTCAGGGAGTAGCCCTGCACCTTCTCCCGGCTATACTCTCTCTAGGTGAGGCTACCCAGTTTTGTGGCTTTAAATCCTAACTGTGTCCTGTTGTCTCAACAATTCTGTTTCTCCAGCCCCTATGGATGACAAGTAGACTTCGGTAACTAAACATGTGCAAATAGGAGCTCTTACACATGCCCATCTGTCTTTCTCCCTTCTCTAAATCTACCACGCCTACTCTCTGTCTTTCCTATGACTGTGCATAGACCTCTGATGAAGGCGTGCAAGAAAACACTCTTGTAGTAATCATGCGTTTCTTAAGTTCGTTCCCTGATTGCCTCGAATCCACCCGCAAGTGCTGTCTCTTTCCACTTCACAAGTATCATGTGAATCACTCCGCATTGATGCTTCCAGTCTGGGCCAAGCCCCTGCTGTCTCTGGACTACACTGCTGCAAGAGCCTCCTAACTGGTCTCCCTGCTTTCCTCTGTGCCCTGCCCACTTGTGATATTGCCCACACAGAGCAGCTAGAGAGAAACCACTGAATATGCATTAGACTACACTACTTCCCTGCTTCGATCCTTTCTCTGGCTCCCCTGAGCTCTCTGAAGAGGGACCAGACTCTTCATCATGGCACCACCCAGCACCACACCTTCCTCCCTCTCTTTCCTCTATCCCCTCTCACACTGGGCTCCAGCAATATTGGCATCCTTTCTGCCTGCCCCGCCCCTCCCAGCACACTCTCTTTTCTGCTACCGAGCCAGGGGAATTGACGTTCTCTCTGCTGGGCAGGTTTCCCCCCTGGTTCCTTGAAAGACTGATGGCTTATCATTGTCCTCAGAAAGGCCTTCCCTGGGCTTCACGTCTCCTGTTTGGCTACTTTTCTGGGGCTCTAGGCAATATGTACCAAGTCACCTCGTTTGTATCCCCAAGAGCATTCGTAGCAACCTTTAACTGTTTTCATACTCCCTGATCTGCCTATTGTCTGTTTCCCCACTAGAAAACAAGCTCCCCGAGTTCAGGGACGGTCTGGCTGGCAGAATACTTGGTAGACAGAAGATCCTCCAGGAATACTTCTTGAATCACTGAATAAATAAAATCAATAGCACTTCCTCCCACAGGAAGGGAAACTTCCCCTCCCTCCACTGAGGCTCCACGGGGCTATTTTTGCCTCTGTGACAGCGTGTAGTGGTTGGAACACATTCCATTTGCAGGTAGCAGAAACTGACCACAGAGAAACTTAAAAAAAATAAAAACTATAAAAGAGGTGGAAACTCAACTCCATGGAAGCCCCTGAGAAAGGACTCGGGGAGTGGTCCCAGCTGCGTCCTTGTCACTTTGGTAGGCCTGTTCCTGTTGCTAGAGGTTCAGGATCCTAGCAATTGTTTTCAGGTTTGGGGATTTGCTGGCCATAGCATGACTTCCCTCAACTTCCTTCTCCTGCTGTCTCAGGGATTTCTGTTGGCTCTGTGGACTGGAAGCCAATGCCAGAGAAAGAGATCTTGTTGAGTCCTGGTCCTCGACTTGGTCTTCCTTGTCATTTCTGTTTCCCAACAATGGGCCGAGAAGCTCTTCTCATCCACGCCACATCCCCTACTCCTCTGCTAGCATGGCTTCCCCCATGGCCTCTGCCTTCCCAGGTCCCTCTTGGACACCAACCTGGAAATGGTGAGGCACAGCTTCATCTGCTCCCTGCCCGAAAGCAACCTAGACCCCCAAGAGATGGCTCTTAACAGCGTGACAGTGATCACCTTGGTCAGGCATGTGCTGTACCGCAGGCTTTTCCTAGGTCCCCTCTGTCCCTTGCCTTTGCTGGCACTAGCCCTGCCTAGGGGCAGAGAGCTGGATTTGCAAGCTGGAGAGGTACCTGTCTGTGTGTCTGCTTCTCAGCCACCTTGGGATGCTTTCCAGCCAGCGATGAAGTGTTCTCACTGCCTCGCATCCCACAGTGACTCGGTCACTTCCTCAGGTTCACGGTTGTTCTATTGTGTGACTGCCAAGATCCAGCCATTGCTGCAACCACAGAAAACAGCATTCTTACCCAAAGAAGGCAGAGGAGGAGAGGAGGAGAGAACATGTGCTGGGCAGGTGAAATTCGACGGCCACTGTAGTCCAATCACATAGCACTTACAGTCCTCCGCTGACACTTCTGTTTTCTGTAGGGGCAGGCTAAGCTTTAGCAGAGTGAAGTCATCCTGGGGAAAGGCACTATGGTTTTCTCTTTTTAAATATCTGGCCCCACTGGCTCATGGTAAATGTGAGACTCCTGTCTATGGGGTGAAAAGGGATACAGGGAAGGATTGTTCAGAGTTGGAAAGTCAGAATTGGTCACATCTGATTTCCTTCTTTCTGTTCTGTCAGCCCTGTCTTGGTTTTGTATGCGCGTGTACCTGCAAATGTGCACTTATACATGCACATTGATGTTTAATTTGTACTCATTCTAAAGTTCTGATCATACTGCTTCCCTCCCTGATCATCCTGAGTGGTCCCCGTGACCTAGGGTATACAGTCGAAGCACCTTAGCTTGACTCTCAAGGCCCCACACCTTCCAGCCCTGTCTGCTACCATGTGCTCTTGGAGACCATGAGCTCTGTTCTTGCCAGATTATTAGGCATGGCCAGAAGCGACCATGCATGTGCTCTCGTGCCAAAGGGCCTTGGGCACAGACTGATCCCTCTGCCTGGAATGTCTTCCTTCCTGCCTTGACATGGTGGACTGCTCCTCATGTTTCAGAGCCCACCTCTGGGAGTTCTGTCTTTGGTGCAGCCTCACTTAATTGCTACTAAGAAGAGTTAGTGGCTGGTCCTCCTTTTTGGAGGAAGTGGGGCTGTAGCTGCTGTTACACTCAACTCTCATCGTTGCTCCCTTGTCTATCCCTCCAGCATTTGGCCCTGTGTGGCCTCTCTGCTCTCACTACACACACACTGCTCACCTCTTCTGACCCTGCCCCATACCTCCAACACATCAACACTCACTGCTCACTCATCACATCGCCTGTCCCTTAGCCCCCAGTGCCAAGTACCTGATAAACTTTCCATAAATATTAGCTGGCGAACTGGGACCAGGCACTTCATTCCAGAGAGCTCAGGTTTAGTTTTGGTTTTTCTTTTGAACCTGAATATGTACTTGTTGGTCCAGGTTGGGAGCGCCTTGAGAGCGGAGCCAAGAATAAACAACTGCCTGGCTCTGGACCAGGCTCTGTTCCCAGCCCTGGGTTTGGCTTTCCTCACCTTCTCATTGAGGTCAAGTACTAGACACAGGGTGCTCTTGATTCCTCCACTTCCAGACTGCATGTACTGAGGCCTTGAGTGCATCCTCAAGGCCACCCCACCCTCTCTTGCAAGGTACTTGACTTAATCATTTAATCGGTCCATTATGTGGAGAGAGGGGATAAAAATAACGCTCCTTTCCGAATCGAACCCTTATCCCTTAGGTCTACAGCGGAGCCCTTTCCCTGGCATCCTTTTCATAAATATCCAGGCGACCGGAGAGGGTGAGCACTCCACTCCCACCTCCGCCCCAGTCCCCTTCCCCGTCCCCTCCCACCGCCCCGCAGCCCCGCAGCCCCGCAGCAGCCACAGGGGGAACCAAAGAGACAGAAGCCTTCCCAGCTGCCCGGACCACAGACGCCAACACCCCCCGCCCCCCACCACACGCCGCCCGCCCGCCCGCGCCCCGCACCCCGCACCCCGCACGCTACCCTACGACCGAGCGGCGGCGGCAACAGCAGCTGGCTGCAGGCTGCGGCGACTGGCACACCGGCGCGCTCCTGGTAGCGCTTGCTATCCCAGGTGACTTGAACTCGCCAGTTCGGATCCCCTGCGCCAGCTCCGGCTCGCGCCTCTCGCCTGCGTTCCGGCACCCACCCACCGGCCCTCCTGCCTTTCCCCGCCTCTCCGTCCCCCAGCTCGCGGGAAGGGAGGTCGCGGCAGCGGCCCGGCGGCAGCGGCGACCGTGGCGACAGCAGCGACAGTGGCGGCAGCGGTGGCGGCAGCGGCTGCGGCGGCGGCGGAGGCTGCGGCGGCGACCGTGGCAGAGGCGGTGGCGGAGGCCTCCGTGGCGGAGGCGGAAGCAGAGGTGGAGGCTGAGGTGGAGGCTGAGGCCTCAGTAGAGGAGGCAGCAGCGGAGGCCACCCTGGGGGACTCGGAGGCCGCCCTGGCCGGGAAGCAGGCAGAGGCCGCCCGGGCAGCAACGGTGGTGGCGGTGGCGGAGGGCAGCGCGGCAGAAGCCGCCGCCGCAGCGGAGGCTGCGGGCCCCCCCTTGGGGGAGGCGGATGCGGATGCGGATGCGGATGCGGACGCGAATGAGGAGGTGGCGGCCGCGGTGGCAGCTGCGGTGGCCGCCGCGGGTGCAGATGCGGATGCTGAGACCCGCGGGGGCTGTGAGGGGAACCCAGATTTTCCTATGGCCTCCCTGTACGTGGGCGACCTGCACCCTGAAGTGACCGAGGCAATGCTGTACGAGAAGTTCAGTCCAGCTGGGCCCATCCTCTCCATCCGCATCTGCAGGGACAAGATCACCCGCCGCTCATTGGGCTACGCATATGTCAACTACCAGCAACCGGTGGACGCCAAGCGGGCCCTGGAGACCCTGAACTTTGATGTAATAAAGGGCAGGCCAGTGCGCATCATGTGGTCCCAGAGGGACCCGTCGCTCCGCAAGAGCGGGGTGGGAAACGTCTTCATCAAGAACCTGGGCAAGACCATCGACAACAAGGCACTATACAACATCTTCTCGGCGTTCGGCAACATCCTCTCCTGCAAAGTGGCCTGCGACGAAAAGGGGCCCAAGGGCTACGGGTTCGTGCACTTCCAAAAGCAGGAATCCGCCGAGCGGGCCATCGATGTGATGAATGGCATGTTCCTGAACTACCGCAAAATTTTCGTCGGGAGATTCAAGTCGCATAAAGAACGAGAGGCCGAAAGGGGAGCCTGGGCCAGGCAGTCCACTAGTGCTGACGTCAAGGATTTCGAGGAAGACACCGACGAGGAGGCCACCTTGCGATGAACACATCCCAGGAGCTAGCCAGCCAGCAGAGCCAAACCTTGGCTCACACCCGGTTTACAAACCCCCGCCCCCACCCCTCCCCAGCCAACCCACCAGCAGTGTATTTATTGTATTGGGAGGGCAGGTCTCTCTCTCCCTCTCTCCCCCTCTCTCCCCACTTCTTACTTTCTCCCTCCACCTCTCCTCTCCCTCCCTTCCTCTCCCCCTCCCTCTCCCCACTTCCTACCTTCTCCCTCCACCTCTCCCCTCCTCCCCTTCCTCTCCTCGGCCCATCCCCACCAAGGGCGTTGTGAATAATCTCACTCATCAGTGCCATTTGTAAGCTAAAGGCGGCCTCTTCTCCCTGTCCTTTGGTTTAAAAAGCATTTTCATTCTCTCTTTGTTTACTGCACAGGTGATACAATTTCATGGTAGAAACATCAGAAAGGAGGAGGATATCAGATGAGGGGAAAACAAGAGAGTAATTGCTCCCACGGTCCTACTACCCAGAGAGAACCATTTTTACCTTTTTGGTGCGCTGCTTTTCCAGGCTCTCTTCTCTCTCCCTCTCTCTCTTTTGCTCACTCCCACCCCGCCTTCCCTTTTAACACCCTGTTATAGAATGGTTCATGTATGTGGTGTTTCTTAACCTGCTTTTTCAGCGACTAAAACCAAACAAAAATCAACCCACTGAACTTCATTCCATGTTATTCAACAGGCTTATGAAACGTCATCTTCAGTGCCTGCAGAGTGCTCCAGTGTATCCGTGGACCTTAACATTTCTGTAATCATTCCCGCATTGTTGGACATTCAGGTGGTGCCTAGTTCTTTCCCTGTGTTTTAGACCAACATTGCGTGCTCTGTGCTTTGATGAGTGAATCCTTCCTTGTCAAGCCAAATCTTTGCTAGCATCCCGGTGGTCTCCTTAACTGTGGACTTGCAAGATCCACATATAGACATTTTAAAGACCTCTCCTGTGTGTTGCCAAAAGGCCCCTTCATAAGCATTGTACCGATTTGCACTCGTGCCGGCCAGCGCAGCTAGTAAAGAATATGCCCGTTTCCCCTGCATAGTCTCCTGGTCACTGTAATTGAATGTGTGTGTGTGTGTGTGTGTGTGCACACGCGTGCGGGCGCGCGCGCGCCTGTGTGTGTATGTGTGTGTGTGTGTGTGTGTGCGCGCGCGCGCGCGTGTGTCTGGGCCAGCTTGGTGGGCTGCAAATGGTATTTCGCTGTCCTCGGTGGTTTCGCTGGAATCAAACACTGTTTATCACCCCCTTCCCCTGTGCCCACTTCCTGTCCTTTTCCCTGTTGTCAGAAAAGTAATTCGGCGTCATTGCAGGAAAACAATAATCACAAACCAGACAAGTTAACAGAAGAAAATTAATGTCACCAGTAATCATTTCTGATGATTACCCACACATTCCTCAAGCATTTTCATGCACGCCTAGTCGATAGTTTCAAGAACTACCTGAAACATTTTTGTCTGTAGGTCTAGTGTTTTTCCTGTTCATATATCGCATATGTATATTATGATATACAGACTGTTTTTGTATCTGCTTTTCACACATAAATGTGTGTGTATATTTACATGCATGCATACTCTTTACCTTCATTTCATGTCATTAAAGATACTTTTAAAATATTTTCTTTGACTCAATATTCTGTTGAATTCATGGCTAGGTAGAAGGTTAGATAGATATGTGTACATATTTGTCTATGTCTATATCTCTGTGTGTTCATGTGTCTTATGTGTGTTTTATTTTAACTCTTTCCTTGTTGTTGAACATTTAAATTGTTTCTGCATTTCCTTTATGTAATCCAAAGCTGCCATGAAAATCCTAGTGCACAAAACTTGCCAACCATCAAGATTATTTTCTGATCAGTTATTGCTAAAAGTAAAACTCATGTGTCAAAGTAAACAGAGAGTTTGAATGTTTTTTGGAGGGGAGAAAAAATGTGTTATTTAATGGCCATCTGTACAGATAATACAAGGTCACCTTCATAATGTGCATCAGTGTTGTCAGATGACCCAGATACCTGGATGATTTTCTGCACTTGCTATTACATTTGTTTCTGCACTTCACCACTATTTTCTCAGGGACACAGGAGCTTTTTTGTTTTTGTTTATGTTATACATTTACTTTTATACAAATTGTACAAAATTGTAATAGGAAATATTTTACAAAATTGCTCATGTAAGAAAAGAAAGTTGAAATCCTAATACCCTTCCTAATACCACTACTTCACAAAATAAATTTTCAATATATAGGTATTCACCTACCTTTATATTTATAACACCACCTGCATTGTTTTATTGGAGGGTATTTCGCTATTAACAGTTCTCTGGGGTCATCTTTGTAAATCATTAAATATTGTCCTGCTATTCTGTTGTTACTACATATATTCTGTCATCGAGATAAGCTATGATTTCTGCAACCAAGCATCCTTTGGGGCTTTGTTTAAAAAGATTCTCATTTTTTTCCTCATAAGATCAATTTCATGATTAACAACTTTTTACCTGAATGTCTAGGCATATTTTATTGTTATTTTTAATCCCTTACTAGTGGAATTACAGAGTAATACATATGAACATGTTAAATATTTTTCTTGGTCTTTATATCCACTAGTTTATATCTACTACAGTCATGAATATAAACATGTAGAAAAGTGCATGTATCACGTCCCATCTTCTTAAATTGATGAAAGTATTTTTTAGGTTTTGTTAAGCTGAAAAAGCTTGTTAATTTTTCTATCATTTTATTTTACAAGCACATTTTTAAAGAGGGAGATCTGGTACATGAAAATAGAGATTAAAACCCCTTTAGATTATTTTTATACTGGCCTCTACTATCCATCAATAAGCATTTACAACGAATTATAGAATTATACTGAGCACATTTTGTCATGATTTGCGTTTCGATATATTGAAACACCTAAAACATCCATGGCTATTCAGTTTTTTCCTAAAACCATCATTTTATAGCATGGAATTTTTTAGGAGTTTACCTATTAAGGGTGTTAAAGTAGTTTCTAAGATTTCCCCCATTAAACCCAAGGTATGATACATAATTTTACAGTTGAATTGCCTCCCTCTCCTAGGGCAAAGCATTCGATATTTCTTTGCTTTGCACAGGATGTAAATGAACAATTAAAAAATCAAGACAAGCATCGGAAATGATGATTTTAAGAGAACAAAAAGGAGCATCGTTAAAAAACCATTTAGAAATAAAACAGTTTTACAAACTCTGTAAAGTGAATAAAACAGAGCCTCTGCCTTCGTGAAAGAAACATGCTAATTTATGCTGTTTAACACTTTGATGCAGACCCTTTGTTTACTTCAAAGCAACATTGGCAATTTGGCAAAACTACAAAACAAAGAAACCCTTGTTTTAGGGTTTATTCTTGTAGGGTATGGATTGCTATTAGTTCTTCATAGAAGTTATATATTAAAATATATCTGTTATTTTATTTGTTTAGCCCATCACAGAAGGAATTCAGAAATAACCCCCATGCAACAAAGTGAACAGCTATTGGCATTACACAAAGGGTCCATCTTCAGTACACAGAGAGATCTGCTCTTAGCTTTGATCCAATCAGAACAAAACATTTCTCACCATTACTGGGAAAATAAGCTAAGAGTAATGCAAGAGAGAGGGGCAAATCAGTTTGTCAATTTCTACAAAGAAGACAGCCGGAATTCTGATGAGGATTGTGTGAAATACATAGAATGATTTGTGTACTATTATTATCTTAAAAATAATGTTTTCCAATTCATGAACATGGAATATCTTTTGTATAGACCTTTTTTCTCTCAACAATTTGTAGTTTTTAGGAGCAGTTGGCAATTATTAGCTTAAAGTTTTAAAATATTTAACAATTTTTGATATTATTGTAAAAAGAATTGATTGCTTAATTTCCGTTTTGATTCACTCATTGCTACTGTATAGAAATATAATAGATTTCCCTACATTGATCTTGTATCCTACAATATTGCTAAAATCATTTATTCATTCTAATATATATTGGTGGATTTTCTATATAAAATAATGTTATTACAAAGCTATATTAATCAAAACAATATGATCCTGGCATAGATACAGACACATAGACCAGTGAAACAGAATAGACAGCTCAAAAAAAAAAAACCTAGGCATATATGGCCAACTAATCTTCAACAAAGGCACAAAGAATACACAACAGAAAAAGGATTGCTTCTTCAATCAATGGTATTGGGAAAACTGGATATCTGAATGCAAAACATAAAAAAATTGGATGCTTATGTTATATCATACAGAAAAATCATCTCAAAATAGATTAAAGATTCAAATGTAAGACCTGAATTTATAAAACTCACAGAAGGAAATACAGAGGGAAAGATGCATGACTTTGATATTAGCAATGATTTCATGGATATGACACCTAAAGCATAGACAATAAAAGCAAAAATAAACAAGTGAGAATACTTCATATTAATAAGTTTTTATGTAGCATAAAATAAAAAAATGAAAAGGGAACCTAAGGAATGAAAAACACTGGAAAACTTATATCCAATAAGCAGTTAATGTAAAAAATACATAAGGAACTCACACAATTCAACAATAGCATAGAAAAAACAAACCCCAACAACCTGAATTAAAAATGGGCAAAAGACCTAAATGGACATTTTTCTAAGGAAGATATATAAATCACCAACAAGTATATGTAAAGATGCTCAACATCACTAATCATCAGCATCAGGGAGATGCAAGTCAAATCACAATGAGAGAACACCTCATAACGTTAGGATGTCTATTATCAAAAAGGGAAAATACAGCAAATGTTGACAAGGGTGTGGATGAAAGAGAATCCTTACACATTGTTAATAAGAATGAAAATGGGTGCCATCATTATTGAAAACAGTATGTAGTTTCCTGAAAAAAATAAAAATAGAACTACCATATAATCCAGAAGTCTCACTTCTGAGTATGTATCCAAAGAAAATAAAATCACTATCTAGAAGAAGCATCTACAGTGCCATGTTAATTGCAGCATTATTCACGACAGACATAGAAACAGCTTAAGTGCTGAGGACTCAAGATGGCAATGTGAGAACAACCCAGGATTGAAGCTCTCGTTGAATCCACAAACAGGTGAGTCGGACCTGCATTTCCAGACTGATCTTTGTTGCCCACAGAACGGGGAAACTCCCCAGTATAAAAAAGACATGGGACGCCAGGCAGTAGGTCTGCCTGGTGAAGCCGGCAGCTGGGGCGGCGGTGGCCGGCCCTACCCAGCAATCCCCACAGGGCGTGCTTGTCCGGGTGCCCTGTTGAACCAGCAACCTGAGACTTGAGAGGGCTGGACATGAGACTGAACGAGACTTGGACAGTAGGCCAGCCCAGGGGATTGCAGGGACAGATCGTTTGGGATACCCAGTGGGACGAACAAAACCGCAATTTCAAACTATCCCGAGCAGACGGTCCGAGACGCTCTGTGGGGGAGGGGCATCCGCCACTACCGAGGCAACCCGCCCCAACTGAGATACACGCCCACTGCTGACGCAGCCTTCTGTTGCCGAGGTAACCTGTCCCTACTGAGATACACGCCCACTGCTGATGCAGCCTGCCGTTGCCGAGGCAACACGCTACAACGAAGAGACTCCAACACAGGGCGTGGCAGAGACCACAGCAGAGCCTGCAGGAAGAGGGCGAATCACACAACAGCAGGGCAGAGCCTCGGCAGCCAAACTGTGGCTAGTCTGCCTTCTAGCTGGGCAGAACACCTCAACAGATATCAAAGAATAAAGCCCGAATCCCCCCCCACAGAGCATTTAAGAAAAAAATGGTATTTTTTAATGAGCTCTGTTGCAGCAGAATCAAATATAGCAGCCTAACAGCCCTGAATGAACAACAGAGCTCACAGCTCAGCAATTGAGCTCCAAAAAAGTACAGACTGTCTCCTCAAGCAGCTCCCTGACCCCTCTATATCCAAAAGACTGACATTTGGCAGGCATCATCCTGGGACAAAGATAGCAGAAAAAGAAACAGGTAGCATCCCTCACTGTGCCACAGCTGCTAGAGGTGCACT